ACTTCTGTCCATGACTCCTCTAGGTTCCAGTTTATGGCTTTTATTGATCCGATTCCAAGGCGCTTCTTGTTTATTGGCTTTTTAATCCAATATTATTCGGATAGAGACACTTGTCCTTTGCACGTAGTGGTGCGTATATTGAAACTAGCTGGAATCCGTCGTAGAGTACCATGCTTCCCGGAATTCTCTTCCGTGTCTCCTGTCTCCATATGCCAAGATTTTGAATCTTCCAGACTGAATTTGTGACTTTATTGGTCTTCATTTATGATTATCGAAGGTGGACGGTCATGCCTCCTTACGGTCGCGTTCTGCTCCTTTATTCGTGTACATAATTTCCTCTCAATTGGCCCAACGTAGAAACTTTTGCGTTTGTTGCAGTTGATTTAGTATATCAGATAGTTCTTCTTGGTTACCCCTTGGTCAGATCTGCACTTGTGAATGAGGGGTATTGTTCTAAACAAGGATAAATCAGACGTGTTCTGCTTTTCGGCTTTTTACTAGGGCATAACTTGGGACATGAAATTTCGATCAAGCTTACCAAGTACTGTGTAGCCTATTAGCTATTGATCCAGTCACTCCGTGGTAGACCCAAATATAACAGGTGCGGGCATCGAAACGATTTCATGCTACTGTCTACGGTTACTGACGACACCTTTCTACAGTAGAACTGATAATATGCCGTTTTCCTCAATTCGGCGGAGTGCGTGAACCCGTTAGTTAGATAAGAGTTTATTTTATGCCTACTTATTGAAATCCTAGTAGTTAAATTTGTAGCAATAATGAAAATTGGTGTACGAAGGCAACGACCTCGAAAAGCTAGGTCTGAGGCTAGAATTCTATCCAAAAATGTATAGAAAGTGCATCACTTCCCCCACTCTCATGCATCATATTTATCAACCAAAAATGGCCACACAAAACGAGTTTACCGATTTTATACTCACCATAACGTTTACTTGAAGGAAACTAGCCACGTGGTCGCTGAAAACCCGACGAGAGTCCATGGCCGGTTTTGTCCTTCTTGGGGTTCATCAACCTCCGAGTTTCCGCGATCTTATTGGCAACCAAATTAAATGAACTTAGCGTACTACTTTCAGCTGAACACCTGTTTGGTTTTGACAGGAGGCTCAACCGAATCCCAGGAGAACCTCTCGTTTATGATTTCTTCCACCGAATATGTTGCACAAAGCCTGTTGAATGTTTCATTTAGTACGATGTTTGAGCTAATACAGTGTTCCCGCATCTACCTGAAGAGCCGCAGTAAAGGAAAAACCAAGGGCTGTTGAAGAGTTGAGTAGTTTCCTTCAGAAAGTATGCTGCAGTGTCTCGAATATCGTACTAGCTGAAAACTGAGGCGGCCTACGTGCAGCATATCGTAGACTAGGGGGCGAGATGGACCAAGTGGTTAGAGCGCGAAGCTCCGTGGCTCGAACCCAATCTCTACCTCTCGACTTCCCTGTCTAGGCTTGGGCAATCTGGCAGTATCCCAGGCCTCGTGCTTCCTTCGTGTGGCATGGCAGCTGGGCACCGAAAGGATGCTAAGGCTGAACGGCATTATATTTATAGACTAGAGTTTCAGCTAGGAATCATTCGAATCTCTCTTTGAAGACCGCATTGGTGTGCAACTGCTTTGTGTTTCCGTGCATCGTTTGTCAGCAAAATTTTTTCCCCACCATCAAAGGCAACAAACCACATATGTGATGGAAAATTATTCTGATTTATTATTGTCGAACAGCTGGATAACATAGTGACATTTTAGTCGGCAATAAAAAACATTCATCAAGAGTTTGACCATTGTGTGCAGCCGTATCATGCACCAGCGCTAGCAACCAGATCCGAGTAGCTGAACGATGATCTCCAGTATCAACCAATGGCATGACCCGATCAACCAAAATAAAGTGTCATCAATCAGGATTCAATATGCCAATTTGACATTCGGTCATAGCCATGAAAAAAGAACGGAGTGATTGGGGAGGTCAACCACCTACTGAAATTCCCCATTTGGCCCGATTAACTTGCTTTTCCTGACACGTCTCTAGTCGAAAAACCCCCTCTTGCCAGGATACTGATGATACTGATATCTGGTCTACGTCACGTGGAGACGTGTGTTGTGAATAATTTATGAAGGTCACATGCTCATAACAAGAAATAGTCCCCAACGGTACTGAGAGATAGATAGATAGATAGATAGATAGATAGATAGATAGATAGATAGATAGATAGATAGATAGATAGATAGATAGATAGATAGATAGATAGATAGATAGATAGATAGATAGATAGATAGATAGATAGATAGATAGATAGATAGATAGATAGATAGATAGATAGATAGATAGATAGATAGATAGATAGATAGATAGATAGATAGATAGATAGATAGATAGATAGATAGATAGATAGATAGATAGATAGATAGATAGATAGATAGATAGATAGATAGATAGATAGATAGATAGATAGATAGATAGATAGATAGATAGATAGATAGATAGATAGATAGATAGATAGATAGATAGATAGATAGATAGATAGATAGATAGATAGATAGATAGATAGATAGATAGATAGATAGATAGATAGATAGATAGATAGATAGATAGATAGATAGATAGATAGATAGATAGATAGATAGATAGATAGATAGATAGATAGATAGATAGATAGATAGATAGATAGATAGATAGATAGATAGATAGATAGATAGATAGATAGATAGATAGATAGATAGATAGATAGATAAGGTAGATAGATAGGAAGGCAGATAGGGAGGTAGCCAGACGTACACTGGTGCCAGGATGCCAATAGAACCGAAACTCTGACGCCCAAAAAGCATCTTTCTCGAGCTGTATTGCAGATTCCGAATGTAAGCGTCCAGGAAGATAGAACAGTGTTTAAATATCCGGTGTGTGTTGTGTACAATACAATCAACTTTGTCAACCGAAATCGCATCTTTTAAGTAAAGATAATCTACGCTGGAAAGCCGGGAAACACAGTTCCGCTATTTCATCCATGTTGGGAACCATTGGCAGCCCGCACCGGGTGAATATCTAGAGGAATTTGAGCCCCTGACCTCCCGGTCTGGCCATGAAAGGCTGAACAGCAATGTTATTAACTCGCGTCCAGTTCCATTCCCCATTCAGCCGTTCAATTGGCGCTTTATGACCATGTTTTGGCTGACTTGTTGGCTGTCTACTTGATGGATGAAAGGTCCATGTGTGGTGTGCATTTCACGTGAGGCGAGCTGCGCGACTGAAAGACCGGTGGCCCTATATCCTGTCTAGTTAATACAATTGATGATCATGCTTTCGTTGCCAAACGACGAGGATTCGAGCCTACCCCCTCCCCAGGGATTCATGAGCTGCACGATGCTTACCAACACGGATGAAATAGCTTCTCGTCTTTGAAGCAGAAACCGACTTGGTCTAGAGGATAAAATCCTGACGACGCATTTCATATCTCTCCATAATATCAACAAGTTAGTTTTTGTTTTTTACTCTAAGGACAGGCCCGGGAAAACACCTGCTGAAACTCAAAATCAACACCGGAACCTTAGTCTCTTATCATTCTGCTATCTATAGGGTAGAATATTGCCCCGGAGGTATTGAAGTCCAAAGAGCTCTCTACCCGAATAAACAAAGTTAGTTTCAATATGCTGCCGCAATATATTGAATTCTTGGTAAGATCAGAGTACGTTTTATGACCACTTTATGCAGTATCTCGTCGCTGAGGGTTGACTCAGTAGAATACCACTACCGAGGCATACTGTGGATACACACGGATAAACATGGGAAGGAGTCAACTTTTATCGCCTAATCCACGCATATATTGCTGTTGACGTATCCCGAGCAGACTGAACAGACTGAGGCCCGAGTGAAAGAAGGCTCGTCTTATCGACATTTTTCACCAAAGCCAACATGTCAAAGCGTGAGCTGCCGTCCGTCGACTGACCCACCCACCGTTCACACACAATTTGGTGAGCTCAATGTAGTCCACAGCTACCCTGGCTTCACTACGCTTAAATGGCAAGTAAGGTGTTTGAGCAGTTAGAAAACACGAGGATAGCTGAGCAGTGCCATCGGCTCAGCCGAAGCGAACAGAGTTGTGACAAACATGAGGGATTTTCAGGGTCCACAGGTAGACCAGTATCGATCAAGCAGACAAAGACCTTTCGTGGTTCGGCTACTTTGATGGATAACAACAGAAGACGCGTGTGTGGTACAGCACACAACCAGGTACCAGGTCTTCCGACGTAGATATCTGTGAGGAAACATTGCAGGGTTTCCACCGAATGGATTTCGCTACCCAGCAGCCGTACAAAACTTCACAATATCAGTGATAATCTGTGAAAACTAATCGGCACTTTCTGGGGGAATTCGATTAGATTCCAAAGTCCCTGCTTTCACCGCCAGACGGCTGACACAGTTCAAGAAGACTTGACTTCGACGCTTCCAGTGATAATGTACTCTGCGGGTTATTGATTATTTCGGTTCCGTTCCTGGTGCAGTATAATCGGAAACTCCATTCTTAGCTTAGTTCAGCTTAGTGCTATTAATGTCGCAATCGATATCGATCGGTGGCAAAAACCCATAATTCTCTGCGGGTTTACTCTAAACATGGTTTCACTTTCGTTTTAGGATATGGTGGTTTCGGCGTCTCATTGACGGTATTTCCGACTCAAGCTATTCTCACCTATATGAACTAATTCCTGAGTAGTATTTGGCCATGTAATGGTAGAGAACACTTTGGTTTGTATTCTCACTGCCGGAGCTCTTGTGATGTTGCAACTCATCCCCAAAGAAAGCCAGTATTTGTTACATATCCAAAGTCACAACAGCCGCAAATGAGGCTTGCTAAGGTGCTTAGTTGTTTTAACTGTCTTCCAAAGAACGCGTTGTTTTCCCTTCCAATTCTCGTGGAGGTGGCAGTCTCACAGAAAATAGGCCACGCGTAAAGAGAGTACTTAGAGTCAACCAAAGTACTGTGGGGCTCCCGCCCCTCACCGGACGGAAACTCAAAAGAACATGTACGTAATGTGTTCCGTGATAGGCCGCATTGCCAAACTGACGTCTATCATTTTGCGCAGAGGATGATGGGTTGATTATGCTGTTGGCGTTTGACATGTTGCTCAAGGCTGTTCAAAGGGACCTTCTTCATAGTCATTTTTCAAAGTCTCCTTCCTTTCCACATTTTACTTCAGCGACGTGTGACAGCTACAGACTTATCACTGTCGCGCCGGCGATATCCACTCCAGCATATATACGACATGATTAACTGAAACCAGTGGATGATGGATAAACATTCCACGACGGTCAAAAGACGTGTGACACAGACTTATCACTGTCGCGCCGGCGATATCCACTCCAGCATATATACGACATGATTAACTGAAACCAGTGGATGATGGATGGATATTCCACGACGGTCAAAATGGGCACAATCCAAATAGAAAAGTCAAAGAGGGAGGAACTCAGACGGGATACTGTCTTCAGTAATGTAGTATTGTGAGTTTGAGTGGTCCAATCAGTTTAACCAGGTTGTGAGTAGTTTAGGATACATCGGCACATTGGGCTCTTTGTGGCAGCTACTACCGCGTCCTGGAGACAAGTGGTTTCCTTACAAGTCAAGCGTTCCGTCACCTTTCTTCGGAAGTGTTATATCTATTGATTCGCCAATCTGTGGAATCTGCTGCTGACCCGCTCCAGTGCTGCGTGCCTGGAAAAAGATACACAGAAGGGAACACAACAGCTATATTCCGAACAAGCGAGTGCGATAGCGTGGGCGCGTGCTAGTGCGAGAGCAAAAGTTACAACGGGCCCACGGTATTTAAAGAGGATTTTCTGACAGTGATCCAGGATGTCTGATAGGCGTTAGTGAACACCCATCAACATCAATCGCGCCTCTATGACATGCCTGAACGCTGATCACATTCGGTCGTGCTTCTGTGGCATGCTTGAACACTCATCGGCTTTTGCTGACTTGGTTAAGTAATTGACTGGTCTGGATGTTTGCCGGCTTTCCTTTTTGG